GCTGAACATTTCTTTTTCAATTGCAGACGGTATACATCACAACGTATTCAACTTTTTAATGCTACTCGCATTTTTCATCCATTAAATACGTGTACTCTTCTTTTTGGCAAGATTACCTATTCCGAAGAAGACAATTCATTAATATTTTTAGAAGTTCAAAGATATATTAAGCATACGGAAAGTTTCCGATAAAATCTGCTTAATGCTGAAGTTTTTTACTCTTTAAAAAAAAAATTGCGACTGTCAAAAGTACATCCTCTCTCTCTCTCTCTCTCTCTCTCTCTCTCTCTCCCTCTCCCTCTCTCTCTCTCTCTCTCTCTCTCTCTCTCTCAGCAAATGGTCTAACATTTCTTGTTCCTAAAATACATGTACTTTGTTATATTTCTCAATGCCATTTCAATGTAATCTATAGTATCAATACTTTTTTTGTATTCGTATTAGGGACGGACCGATTTACTAATGTTATTTGAACTTGTGGTCCAACCCTTTTTCTTTCAAAATGTATTTATATATTTTTCATTCTATATATTTGCATTGTACATATTGTAACAAATTGAAAGGAATAAAATATGTTTAAACTAAGCATTCAAAATGATACAAACTGCTCACATAGTAAAATATTAGTTACTCTGACTTTTAAAAATTGTGATCTATGAAATGATACCTATCAACTAAACAAATAAAAAAGACTGGGTTATAAGATAACTTTATTTGTATTTCTAAGAAGTACCCGTGATAAATAATATATATAACCGTACACCATGAACAAAATGCACGTCTGGTTATTTTATCGGTGGTAAAGCTTTTGTTGAGAAAGATTTTGATATTGATTGTTTGCACTTGTTGAAAGCCTCGCAAACGTAGCTACCCTCGTGACGGTTTTCGATAGGCCCAATGATTATTTTAGAATTGTCACCTGGATATATTTGAACATCGTCCTAAAATTAACGAAAATTAATAAATATTTCTTGAAAAATTCTTGAAATACTGAAACCATTTGAAAACCTCAGGCATATTATGAGTTTTGTTTTATATAATGGCTTGAATAAGATGCTTACAGTGATGCTGGGAATAAGTATATGATTTTCATGTATGGGTTTGGCTTATAAAGCATTTTAACTAAATAATATACGTTTTTAAAACTACATTCAAGTTCAGGTAAAGATTTTTGATTTTTGAACACATTATTTTTTGCAAAAATATAATCTCAAAATTATCATATAGAAATAAAGTGTCTCATCTTACTGTATGCCTCAGCCATCGGACATCCGGCATCGGATTACCACTGACGAAACATTTTACAACCACAAATTCTGTTAGTGCCCATGTTCCTTGCACAATTTTAATGTCGGTTATTTGAGGTGCTGAAATGAGATAATCGAAATAAAATAATCCGCGCCACGACAAAACCAACATAGTGCGTTTGCGACCAGCATGGATCCAGACCAGCCTGCGCATCCGCGCAGTCTGATCAGGATCCATGCTTTTCGCTTACAAACCCAATAACAAGTAGAGAAACTGATAGCGAACAGGATGGATCCTGATCAGACTGCGCGGATGCACAGGCTGGTCTGGATCCATGCTGGTCGCAAACCAATTATAGTGGTTTTGTGATGACGCGGCTCAAATATTGATTTGTTGAAATAATTAATGGTCATGTTGGGCGAGATATACCACCGTTTGATCTAGTCCGTGAAAATTTTTATATATCGTCTAAAAAGGAAACCCTGTCATTTACTTCCTTTTAAATTGACATATTAATTTTAACCCATATTCAATTTGTTAGCTGTTGGAGTAATAAAAATTTGTACAGTTCTTTTCTCTCTTACCAATACATACTTATCTTCAATATCTCAACGGTAACTCAGAATGTAATTTTAACATCAATGACGACTAAAACGTCATCCTATATCATATTAAAAATGACGTTAAGGTTTGTTTTGTCGTGGAATATTAGGTACTATAATTCAAATGTTTTTGATAAATTCATCTATTTTGTAAGATATACATTTCTCTAGCATTTATAATACACTTATACTGATTAATTCAAATCGCGTGCAAAATATTTAATTGCATGTCGTTAATAACGCTAAGGTCAACCAAATTTGATTTATTCACATTTTATCAAAATTTACACTTACAATTTTTGTATACAGTGAATTTGCTGTGAATATACGCAATAAAATACAATTTTGTACAATATATGAGCATATATAATTGATCTGTTAATATACATCATATCTTAAATATATCACTTATCTTTAAAGGTCTGGTGATGTGACCTTTCTCTTAAGTACTATTCTATATAGCCTTCAAATATATTAAAGTATTTTTATACCAAAACTGCTCATAACTTACGTGTGCATGCATCGGGTTGTCCTCCAAAACAATATGTGATGTCCTTCTCCGTATGATTGTGTGTACAAACATCTGTGTGCTGGTGACTAGGGTCATAGCATTGGCGCATGCGCTCTTTTGTTCCCTGGACATTAGGATCTGTCTCCAGACAAGCTGACCATGCCGTCCATTCTGTCCACTGACCAACTTAAATTTAAAAAAAATGTTACACCAATAGAATAATTAAACTAAAAATTAACTGATTCATATATTTTTAAGTTAATACTTATATAATGTAAAATATAATTAAATATTATAAGCTATATTTACAAATCAAACACTTTGATGCATACAAGTTGTTTTGTGAGAAGTGAAGTAAATGTCAGTGTAAATGTTGGTTTACTTCGGACAAGGCCTTGTTAATTTTTTGTGAACACTAAAATATTAATTTCTTACCTTACTATATGTTATTTTGCCGTGGAAAATCAAAAACAATAGTTTATAATGTATGCCTATATCGAATAATAAGTGCTTTTGTTTGGTATATTTTCATGATAAAGAACAAAACAAAAACCCTGCAAAAAAAGTTGTATATTTATAACATTGACCCAATACAAATGCGTCTTAATACAGTTTCTCTACTGTTGTATGACATTTGTAGTGAAAACTTGGCATGTGCCGTAAAAAAAAAACGTCACAAACGTCAAGAAACGATTTTACATAAATTATTTCATTCAGATTAATTTTTCAGGAAAATAATAAGAAAAAAATTACCTATATGATTTGTAGGAGTAACTGTTACTTTTGTCGCCGGAGCAGTGGTAAATCCGTGGTGATTCGTAGATTTTGTCGGCGGAGCAGTGGTAAATCCGTGGTGATTCGTTGATTTTGTGGGCGGGGCAGTGGTAAAACCGTGGTGATTCGTTGATTTTGTGGGCGGGGCAGTGGTAAATCCGTGGTGATTCGTTGATTTTGTGGGCGGGGCAGTGGTAAATCCGTGGTGATTCGTTGATTTTGTCGGCGGAGCAGTGGTAAATCCGTGGTGATTCGTTGATTTTGTGGGCGGGGCAGTGGTAAAACCGTGGTGATTCGTTGATTTTGTCGGTTGGGCAGTGGTAAATCCGTGGTGAATCGTTGATTTTGTCGGCAAGGCAGTGGTAAACACATCATTTGGTTTTAAAGTAACTCCAAATTTAAACGCACATAATGAAGTGGAGCAACATTTTGGATAGTCAGGATTTGTAATATCATCAGATTTGCAACTCTGTAAGATATTTTTTGTTTTTTAGTTTGCGTTTACGTCGCAACACGGTTAAGGCAATATGGTGACTTCAGATGCCGTTCCGCTCATAATTTTAGGTGGAAGCGTCACCTGAGTAGAACCAGCGACGGTCCGTAAGCTGATAGCTTCCACAAATGAAAGAAACTAAAATTCTAACCGGAATTAGTACCTACACTGGCTGGTAATATGGTTTGAAGTCAACGACAATAAACACTCAGCGACCGGCGCCCGACACCTTTCGAATATAACCTCAACTAAAAATTATATTCTAACATTACAAAAGTCATGCCACATGTTCCTAAGTTGAAATCGAGTAAAAGCATGTTTATTACTTATAATAAAATTTTAACTAAACTAATTTAAATAAAATCCATCTTAATTGTGTTGTAATAAAGAAAAAAAGCAAACAAACAAAAACATTCTTATTTAAAACGTGTATTTTAAACTAAGAAATCAGGGCAAGTTTGGATCTCGAAATCTTTTAGTGCTCGCCAATTTTTTTAAGCCAATCACCGACGAGGACTTTTCAAATTTTCAGGTTTCAAATCTTAATAGAACAGATTTTATATAAACTGGACGTTTTATATTATAAAACGCAAGTGGGCGGAGCTAAGTTTCGACGAGCGCTAAAGTGAAATATACGCATGTGCAGAGATCTTGAAGTTTACTCCTACTAATCAATATTTATGCATCATGTTTTTTCCGTACACGCACATGTATATCGTCACTACGGCATAGAATTAAAAAAAGAAGTTCATTGAAATGAAAACAGGCAACAGTAAAAATGTTTTATAACTTACGGAACCAGTATCATTTTATAATTTCCAAATAAAAATTTCACTTATTCCAAGAAAGTATGCATGTAATATTTCTTACTTAATATGTAAATATTACAGCCCGTGCCGCTGCAAAACCGAAAGTAGGGTATTTTTATTAATTTTACAAAAATATGTCGAGGTGACGGGCGAGGCAAGACATGTCGACTTTTTGTAGCTTATTGTGATGTTATTCTTAGTTTAAAATACACGTTTTAAATAAGAATGTTTTTGTTTGTTTGCTTTTTTTCTTTATTACAACACAATTAAGATGGATTTTATTTAAATTAGTTTAGTTAAAATTTTATTATAAGTAAGTATAAACATGCTTTTACTCGATATCAACTTAGGAACATGTGGCATGACTTTTGTAATGTTAGAATATAATTTTTAGTTGAGGTTATATTCGAAAGGTGTCGGGCGCCGGTCGCTGTGTGTTTATTGTCGTTGACTTCAAACCATATTACCAGCCAGTGTAGGTACAAATTCCGGTTAGAATTTTAGTTTCTTTCATTTGTGGAAGCTATCAGCTTACGGACCGTCGCTGGTTCTACTCAGGTGACGCTTCCACCTAAAATTATGAGCGGAACGGCATCTGAAGTCACCATATTGCCTCAACCGTGTTGCGACGTAAACGCAAACTAAAAAACAAAATATATCTTACAGAGTTGCAAATCTGATGATATTACAAATCCTGACTATCCAAAATGTTGCTCCACTTCATTATGTGCGTTTAAATTTGGAGTTACTTTAAAACCAAATGATGTGTTTTACCACTGCCTTGCCGACAAAATCAACGATTCACCACGGATTTACCACTGCCCCACCGACAAAATCCACGATTCATCACGGATTTACCACTGCTCCGGCGACAAAATCAACGATTCACCACGGATTTACCACTGCTCTGGCGACAAAATCAACGAATCACCACGGATTTACCACTGCTCCGGCGACAAAATCAACCAATCACCACGGATTTACCACTGCTCCGGCGACAAAATCAACCAATCACCACGGATTTACCACTGCTCCGGCGACAAAATCAACCAATCACCACGGATTTACCACTGCTCCGGCGACAAAATCAACCAATCACCACGGATTTACCACTGCTCCGGCGACAAAAATAACAGTTACTCCTACAAATCATATAAGTAATTTTTTTATTATTATTTTTCTGAAAAAAAAAAAAATGAATTTATTTATGTAAAATCGTTTCCTGACGTTTGTGACGTTAATTTACTTACGGCACATGCCAAGTTTTCACTAAAAATGTCAACAACAGTAGAGAAACTGTTTTAAGGCGCATTCGTATTGGGTCAATTTTATAAATACCGGTATACAACTTTTTTGCAGGGTTTTTGTTTTGTTCTTTATCATCTAGAAATTACCAAACAAAAGCACTTATTATTCGATATATGCATAAATTATAAACCTTTTTTTTTATTTTCTACGGCAAGATAACATATAGTACGGTAAGACATATATTTATGTGTTCACAAAAAATGAACAAGGGATTGTCCAAAGTTGACCAACATTTACACTGATATTTTCTTCACTTCACACAAATCAACTTGTATGCATCAAAGTGTTGATTTGTCAATATATCTTATATTATTATATTATATTTTAAATTATATAAGTATTTACTTAAAAATATATGAATCTTTTAATTTTTTGTTAAATATAACATACGTTTTTTATATAAGTTGGTCAGTGGACAGAATGGACGGCATGGTCAGCTTGTCTGGAGACGGATCCTAATGTCCAGGGAACTAAAGAGCGCATGCGCCAATGCTATGACCCTGGACACCAGCACACAGATGTATGTACACACAATCATACGGAGAAGGACATCACATATTGTTTCGGAGGACAACCCGATGCATGCACACGTAAGTTATGAGCAGTTTTGGTATAAAAATATTTGAGCCGCGCCATGACAAAACCAACATAATGGGTTTGCGACCAACATGGATCAAGACCAGCCTGCGCATCCGCGCAGTCTGATTAGGTTCCATGCTGTTCGCTTACAAACCCTATAACAAGTAGAGAAACTGATAGCGAACAGCATGGATCCTGATCAGACTGCGCGGATGCGCAGGTTGTTCTGGATCCATGCTGGTCGCAAACCCATTATGTTGGTTTTGTCGTGACGCGGCTCATTTTAATATATTTGAAGGCTGTATGGAATAGTACTGAAGAGAAAGCATGCGAAATTAACAAAATGTCACATCACCAGACCTTTATAAGGGATATATTTATTAAATGATGTATATTAACAGATCAATTATATATACTCATATATTGTACAAAATTGAATTCTATTGCGTATATTCACAGCAAAATCACTGTATACAATAATTGTAAGTGTAAATTTTGATAAAATGTGAATAAATCAAATTTGGTTGACCTTAGCGTTATTATTGACCTGCAATTAAATATTTTGCACGCGATTTAAATTAATCAGTACAAGTGTATATATTAATGCTGGAGAAATGTTACAAAATAGATGAGATATATCAAAAGCATTTGAATTAGTACCTAATATTCCACTACAAAACAAATTTAACGTCATTTCCAATATGACGATAGATGACGTTTACGTCGTCATTGATGCTAAAATTACAATAAAATTACCGTTGAGAAATTGAGGATAAGTATATATTGGTAAGGATGAAATGAATTGTACATATTTTTATTACAACAATAGCTAACAAATTGAATATGGTTTAAAAATAATTATGTTTATTAAAAAGGAAAAAAATGAAGGGTTTCCTTTTTAGACGTTATATAAAATTTTTCATGGACTAGATCAAACAGTGGTATATCTCTTCCAATATGATCATTAATTTTTTCAACAAATCAATATTTGAGCCGCGTCATAACAAAACCAACATAATGGGTTTGCGACCAGCATGGATTCAGACCAGCCTGCGCATCCGCGCAGTCTGATCAGGATCCATGCTGTTCGCTATCAGTTTCTCTACTTGATATTTGGTTTGTAAGCGAACAGCATGGATCCTGATCAGACTGCGCGGATGCGCAGGCTGGTCTTAATCCATGCTGTTTGGAAACGCACTATGTTGGTTTTGTCATGACGCGGCTCATTTTATTTCGTTTATCTCATTTCAGCACCTCAAATAACCGACATTAAAATTGTGAACGGAACATGGGCACTTACAAAACTTGTGATTGTAAAATGTTTTGTCAGTGGTAATCCGATGCCGGATGTCCGATGGTTGAGACATACAGTAAGATGAGACACTTTAATTCTATATGATAATTTTGAGATGATATTTTCGCAAAAAATTTAATGTGTTCAAATATCAAATTTTTTTACCTGAAATTGGATGTAGTTTTAAAAACGTATATTATTTAATTATAATGGATTATAAGCCAAACTCATACTATGAAAGTCATATACTTATTCCCAGCTTCACTGTAAGCATTTTATTTAAACCATTATATAAAACAAAAATGAGCCGCGTCATGACAAAACCAACAAAGTGCGTTTGCGAACAGCATGGATCCAGACCAGCCTGCGCATCCGCACAGTCTGATCTGGATCCATGCTGTTCGCTTACCAACCCTATTACAAGAACAGAAACTGATAGCGAACAGCATGGATCCTGATCAGACTGCGCGGATGCGCAGGCTGGTCTGGATCCATGCTGGTCGCAAACGCATTATGTTGGTTTTGTCATGACGCGACTCAAATCAAAATATGCCTGAGGTTTTCAAATGGTTTCAGTCTTTCAAGATTTTTTTAAGAAATCTTTATTAAATTTTCTTTAATTTTAGGACGATGTCCAAATATATCCGAATGACAATTCTAAAATAATCATTGGGCCTATCGAAAACCGTCATGAGGGTAGCTACGTTTGCGAGGCTTTCAACAAATGCAAGCAATCAATATCAAAATCTTTCTCAACACCAGCTTTAACACCGGTAAAATAACCAGACGTGCATCTTGTTCATGGTGTACGGTCATATATATTATTTATCACGGGTACTTCTTAGAAATACAAATAAAATTGTCTTATAACCCTGTCTTTTTTTATTTGTGTAGGTATCATTTCATGGTACACAATTTTCAAACATCAGAGTAACTGATATTTTACTATGTGAGCAGTTTTTATTATTTTAAATGCTTAATAAGAATGCCATGACTGGCATAAACATGTATTTGTAAGAAAACTGACACATAGCTACAATGTAAGATATGATATATACCAATCATGCTGCAGTATACAACGAGCCGAAGAACCCAGTGTAAAACCTAGTTTATATATTCTATGTATAATTTTGATTCGCAAAATGGATAAAACGTCGGTAATGTATTCTCCAATCGTGTCACATGACATGACACCCACTATCTCTTAGGAAATTTTCAAGCGCCAGCTTAATTTTCTTAACACGTCCCATGATATTGTCGTTAATCCGTGATCCGATTGAAAACAATCCATACGTCCAGAAACAATGGCAATTTTAAATCGCACCAATTTCAATACTAATTCGTATAAATGATTAGAATGGGATATTTCTGTGTCCGTTCCAATAGATTGTAAAATATGCATAGCTTGTAAAAAAAGAATTTCAAGAATTTAGCTGTATAGTGAAAGTTAAACATGATTCATATCATAATAATGTTCATAAACCAGATATTAAAATTTGATCTGATATATTTAAATAATGAATATGCTGGTGGCAAAAGATAAAACGCTCAATATGTCCCAGAAATGAATACATTTTTATTGTTTTTAGAAATGGCAAACATGTTTTTAATACTGTTAAAATGAAGGACTGGGAGCATTGTTGACGTTTTTCACCTGAATGTGAAATTGTCACCTTGTAGTAATTTGTAGACATATCTTTACTTCCATAACTATAACTGTTTTAAAAAGGAACAGAAGAAAAAGGTGGGTTGATGGTTGATGTAATCGGACAATGAGTTACCTTTTGGAAACTTGATGTGTATATCCAAAATTAAAAATAGAGACAAAAGCATTTCCTGAGCGTAATGGGCATAAAAATAAAGAAAACAAGAAGAAAATAGTTTGTCTAGATGTATTTCTAAAACAAGTTTGGCATTTGGCAATTTTGAATTGTAAATTTGTATGGTCTATCTACGGGCATTTAAATGCATTAGTATATACTTAAATACGTTTTTGTTTACGAATAGATGGACTAAGTGTGTGTGTGTGTGCGTGCGTGCGTGTGCGTGTGTGCGTGCGTGCGGCGTGCGCGTGTGCGTGCGTGTGTGTGTGTGTGTTCGTTAAAGCGATCTTCAGCTTTGATTTTCTGTTGGAAAAAAAACCCAATTCTGTGGCATTTAAAACTAAGTATTTCAGTAATTTTACCTCCGAAAAGTGCATCATATTCCTGTAAAATAGCGTCACCGAGAGCTACTTTTAACGCGTCAGTGATGTTCGTTTATAAATAAAATAAAAGATCTAAAACGAATCGTCCGCTTTACTAATTTTAATTATTATATAGAGGACAGACTGGTATATTAGAGGTTTCGAGGGATTTCCTTATTGTTTAATATGTATTTTATCATTTTATCGTCGGCAAATGTCATTTTCCAACTTAATTCTTTTTGATTTGACAATAATTTAAAAGAAACACATTTAAGAAAAGCTAAGTGCCGCTTTAAAAGATTTCGTGCAAAAGATTTTTAACAAAATTGTTGTATCCCTGTTTCTCGGTATGTCAGGGTTTCTCGTTTTTTCTGACTATAAAAACATATGTAATTGGCACCTTGGAAACCGAAAACATGTCTTCTTTGTAGCCCTGACATTTACCGAGATACCCGGTCAACATTCTGATAAAAATAAATGTGTCAAAAACATTTGAAAAAAATTATGAAATTGTCACAAAATCCAGAAAAATGTATTAAAATTTCAATTTAGATTTTTATCATACTATGGTTAAGTTATTTGCATGATAAGACACATATATTGTTTCTGATAATATATCTTAAACACTTAATCAAGAGTGACACTAATGACTCGAGGTGATTTGTAAAATTAAATTATTACATAGATACCAGCATTCAGCAAAAATAATATTACGAGATAATGCGAGAAGGTACTTTGTTCATCTTGAGATGGAGGGTCAGTATTATCTGATAGAAAACAAATATTTATGCCTTTTTTGTCATGATTCTAAATTGTACATGAAGTTTTCGGGGTCGTTACATAATAATTTATAGAAGAAACAAACCTTCCTCAATCGTTGTTTAGATAGAACATGCGTTTAGTTAGGAATAAAATGAACAAATGTTAAAATACTTAAAAGAAATAATTGCAGTCAATGAATCGGAAATCTTTATTATCCATACATTCTAATGAAGGTAATTAAACAACTGTAATGATCATTAATAAGTTGTTATTGTTGTGTTTAGAGATAATTAGTCATTTGTGATGTTGGGTCAAGAAACATTCTTTTATTGTGGAAATGACGTTTACCTTAATATTAGGTTTCGCAATAAAAGGAGTTATTTTAGAATTAATTCAAATGATGTAGAGGCTATTTTCATGAGAAGTTAAACCTGATTCATACTTTTCTACTCCGTTTGCCACAAATTCAGCTTTTTATCGCCAGTAAAAACGATTATTAAGTTGAATCAACAGTTCCCGTGTTTATATCAAAAATAATTTATTTAAAGATCAGATTAAAAAAAAAAACAATTTATAAACACTTTTATGTGTTTTTTGTGCTTTCGTAAATGTGACATAAATAATTAATATGTCAAAGGACTATTATTTATATTAGATCTTTTTTAACATTGTTGTTAGAACAAATTTCTTAAAGCTCTTTAAAAGGGAGTTTGAGGTGCTATCAAAGTTTAATTTAGCACCTTAAACTCTCTTTAAAGATAAAAATAAACATATTACATGTAACGAGTATTTCTTTAGTAATACATAAGGTCTTCCGACGAAATCCGTAACGTTTTCCAGGATCTTAGTGACAGTTAACAGAACTCCTGACACTTTATCAGAAGAATTCCATCCTCCGTGTAACTATTCCGCCCCCGTGACGTGGTGCACACAGAAGTTCCTCTTCTTTGTCAAAGAAACTTAACATAGACATATTTTTTTAAAATGAACATTTATTTCGGTTTGCCAGATTAAAATATTGATTATTTCAGTATCCAGAAATAAGCTATTATTTGTGCATGTATTTTTTCATTATATTCATGTTGTCGTTATTATTATTCAGTTTGGTGTCTACGTGTATCTAATCAATTTAGGTTTTGCTATAGAGGGATCAGACTTCCGATTAATATTCTGGTTATGGGCGAACATGCGTCTTATATGTTTTGACCTTAATGATTCTGAGTTTACTTTTATTTTTCCTCATAAGAAAGGGGTTGGTTGGCCGTCTTTGTTGACCTGTAAATGTGCTTGCCCTGTTAGAGAACATTTGATATAATTACGCCTATAGGTAGTTGGCTGATGAAATTGTCTCTAAAGTAGTTTTATGAAGAGAAATAATTAGTTCAAGTGACGTAAGCAGAACTGTCCATTATATAACAAGATAGTGCAGCCAGGGTAACATTGCTATAAGTGTCTATTATTGAAGCCGAAAACAGACATTTGATGTTTGGAACAGGTGATTAAGGAAAATCAAATATCAGTCAACTTTCTACCTATAAAAGTAATGACCAATGAATGCAACACAAAAAAAAAACAATTTCATTTTCTCAAACAAATACAGCAGGAGGTGTTTATGTATTCGGTCAACATTCTGAACACGCATGGTATCTTAAAACAGATTCAGTCTTTAATTGAAAACATTGTCAAAATAATGAAGCTTGTAGCTGTTGATAAAGCTTATTTTCATCAATTTGTTTTTATAATTAGAGGCATATCTTGTACAAATACCTTAGCGTACGAAGCAGAAATTAAGATATGGGTTCATTAAACATAACAAAGTGTCTAAATTAGTTATTAATGAAGGGCAAATTGCTAAAGTAAAGCCAATAGAATGTACTCAATAATAACGGGTTTCATGATTTATGGTTAATATTCTGGTGAACTTTAGAATAATTAGAGATACATTTCATGTACGCGTGATAAATTAACACGGCCACAGGTTGTCCATATTTAGTTACCCGTACATGTGAATGTTTGATAAACCATATGTTTATCAGTATATACCTAGTATCAGCTGGAATGAAGTGTTCTAAATATTGATATTGCATTATATATTTATATTACATTCTTTGTATTGATATTTCGTTTTATATACTTTGATATTGTACTCTTTATATTGAAATTTCATTCTATGTATTGATATTGCATTCTTTTTATTGATATTGCATTCTTTATATTTATCATGTATTCTATATATTGATATTACGTTCTATATATTGATATTGTTTTCTACATATTGATATTGCGTTCTGTATATTGATATTGCATTATATAATATTGATATTGTATTCTTTATATTGATATTGCATTCTCTATATTGATATTGCATTCTCAATATTAATATTGACATTGCATTCTCATTATATTGATATTGCATTCTCTATATTGATATTGTATTCTATATATTGATTTTGCATTCTCTATATTGATATTGTATTCAATATTTTGATATTGTGTTCTATATATTAATATTGCATTCTCATTATATTGATATCGTTTTCTATATATTGATATTTCATTTTATATATAGATATTGTATTCTGTATATTGATATTGCATTCTATATATTGATATTGTATTCTATATATTGATATTGCATTCTATATATTTATATTGTATTCTATATATTGATATTGTGTTTTATATATTGATATTGTATCCTATATATTGATATTGCTTTCTATATATTGATATTGTGTTCTATATATTGATATTGTATTATATATATATTGATATTGCATTCTATATTTTGATATTGCATTCCTAATATTGATATTGCATTCTATGTATTGATATTGCATTCTGTATATTGATATTGCGTTCTTTAAATTGATATTGTATTCTTTATATTGATATATATTGATATTGCGTTC